GGGGTGGTGTAGGGTGGTTTGGGGAGGGTGCAGGGGGGGCCGGCCAGTGAAAGGAAGAGAGGCGGTGGTGGAGATGCAGGGTTGTGGGATACTTGTTGTGAGCATCTCAAATTGTGCAGCGCGTATGCTTGTGATATCGCAAATAGCAGGACCAGGACGTCCTGGAGATGAATCGCCAAGGTCATCTCTTGAGATACCTCTCTAAGGCCTGGTTCTGACGACCAACGTCCTCCCCTTCACCGCACATTCCTCCCAAACCCCTCCATGGCCACCCCCACCAACGCGTCCCCCCCCCCTGTGTTGCAGGCGTCAACACGACGGCCAACTTGATTGGCGTGCAGGAGACCCCCAAGGCGGCCAGCCAGATCCGCCTGGACTTCTCCAGCCTGCTGGGCCCCCTGTTCTTCACCTGGGTGGTGCAGATGCTGCTGCCCATATTCCTGATGCAGCTGGTCTACGAGAAGGAGAAGAGGTGGGGAGGGCTGTATTGTGTGCGCTCTATTTGCATGTGTGTGTGCTCTATTTGCGTGTGCATGTGCTCGCGCGCGCACGCTTGTGTGTGTGTGTGTGTGCATGCACAAGGAAGAGGAAGGTAAGGCATGATGCATTGATGGGGGGAAGCATGCAAGGCAACGAGACTTTGAGAGCGGGGAGGCTGGCCCTTGCGCGATGGCGACCACCCAGGCTGGAGTGCCAAGCGTGCCGTCGAGGCCACTTCCTCTGCGCTGTGTTGGGTGACCCGGCCGCCAAGAGCCGCCATCGCCTCGCCCTGATCCTCACCCGCCCCCCTCTCCGCACCCCGCACCCCTTCCCCAAGGCTGCGCATGATGATGAAGATGCACGGCCTGGGTGACGGGGCGTACTGGCTGGTGACCTACACCTGGTTTTACGCGCTGTACGTCCTATACATGATTGTTTTCATCGTGTTTGGGTCCCTCATAAGGCTCAACATGTTCATCAAGAACAACATCGGGGTGCAGGTGGGGCCCGGCGCGGTGGGCGCGTGCGCATGCATGCGTGTTGCTGCGCGTAAGATCGCAGGATTGCGTGCGTCCTGGGCGCACGTGTGGTCGTGCTGTTGGCTGTGCGCCATTCAAAAGCCGCGCGGCGCCTCCCGTCACAACACAGCAGCCTCCTCTCCACTCCGTCCTGCACGTTGCCCGCCTGACTGCCTCCCTTCAACCCTCCCTCCCTGCCTCACTCTCCCCACACCCGCCCCCGCCCCCACCAAAACCTCCAGATCCTCCTGTACGCCATCTTTGGCCACAACATGATCGCGCTCAGCTTCCTCCTCTCCTGCTTCTTCTCATCCGCCAAGACGGCCACCATATTTGCGTACCTGGTTGTCTTCGGGACCGGCCTCATCGGCAGCCTGCTGCTCGCCAGGCTCATGGGCGCGGGGTTCTGGTGGATGACGATTGTCGAGCTGGTGCCGTCCTTCTCACTCTTCAGGTGGGCGTGCAGGGGGCAAGGGGGCAGGGTAGGCGGGGCTGGGCAGCAGGCCTGTCTTGACAGCTGCCGTCAAGACTGAGGCGGGTGCGCTTCAGCGGCCTTCCGCGTGCGCACACGCCCATGTCACTCACATGCACACCCTCTCTCACACACACTCTCTCTCTCCTCCTCACACCCCCCCCCCACACACACACATCGCCACCACCAGGGGCCTGTTTGAGCTGGGTGAGTACAGCTTCCTGGCAGTGTACCGTGACTCATACGGCATGAAGTTCTCCAACCTGTCAGACCCCAAGAACGGGCTGGTGGCGGTTTACATCATACTGGCCCTGGAGTGGTGGGTCTTCATGGGGCTGGCCTGGTACCTGGAGCAGGTGAGGGGGTGGAGGGGGGGGGTCGTTCGGGTGCGGAACGGGTGCGGGAGGGCGCAGAAGGCGCAGCAGGCTGTGAAGGGTGTGGGGTAGGGTTTGGTTGTCGTGACATGATTCAGTGTCCCGCACGTTTCGCACCACTGACGTCAAACACTTCTGTTTTGCACTAGACTCGCCACCTCAACCCCAACAAATGCGACGCCATCTGCCCGCGTCAGGTCTTTGCCAGCGGGACTGGAAATAGGCGGCACCCGCTGTTTTTCCTGGACCGGTTCCGCAAGGTGCGGGGAGGAGGTAGTGCAGGCGTGGCGGGCTCAGGCAACAGGGTACAATGTGGCTGCCCTGTACAAGCACTCCGTGCCTGTATCATGGCCTGGCTTCCAGTTCAAGTTTGCTGCCCGTTGTTTCGGTTGTCGCGCCACGAGGCCCCAAACAAGCGCGTCAGCTAGACGGATGGCGTATTCATATCGCCCCCACCTTCACCCCGCCCGGCTGTGGGCTAAAGCAGCGCCCTTTGACAGAGAGAGTCACCACCACCGCGCGCTCTCGCCACCTCAGGCCCGCCATGACGCCGACAACGCGCGGCTCAACATCCAGGCTCAGGAGGTGGCCCCCGCGCAGGACGAAGCCGCGGACGTTGCGGCGGGTGGGTCGGGCGCGCCTCAAGGTCCAGCAAGCTGGCGGTCCGTGCGCACGAGGGTGGGAGGGACGCGGGGTGGCCGCGACTGGCCACATCTGATCCCCTTGGGCACATGACGAGCTGCGATCCCTTGCGAGCAGTGTAAATCACATTTATTCTAACCGCTCGTGCATGCAGAGCACGCCCGTGTGTCTGGGCTGGTGGATTATGCCGGCAACCCCATTGTTGTGAGGGATCTCAAGAAGATCTACCCGGGGCAGGACGGGCAGCCGCCAAAGGTGCGGCCAGGCGCGCGCGCACACGCATCAGCGTGTATTTGTGAGTGTGCATGTATGTGGATGTGGCCGTGTAAGTGTCCGTGTTGTGCGCAAGTCCTGATAACACAAGCAATGCGCACCTGTGCAAATCGCGCGGGTAAATCCATTAACACATACATTCCTTGCTTGCTTACACAAGGCTAACACACCCATCACGCTCATGCCTCCCCCTCTCGCCCTGCTGCAGCTGGCTGTGCGCCAGCTCAATCTCGCGATAGAGAAGGGCGAGTGCTTCGGCCTGCTGGGCCCCAACGGCGCCGGCAAGTCCACCTCAATCAACATGATGGTGCGGGCCGACCCCTCAATTCCTGGGGACTTGGCGGGCGGATGCGCTTTCCCATCGCAGGAGGGTCGCTTCACCTGGGGTTCACTATTGAGTTGCTTTGCCCTACTCAGGCTTGGGGTGCCCACTTTTGCATGACCTGCCACAGCAAAGCCCCAGGTCACCAGCTGGGCCGCGTCACGCTGCTCCTGACACAATTATTCCACATACCAAAGTCGCAAATTCACACATACATAATCACACACAATCACACCCACAATCATAAACACACGCACACAAACACACACACACACACACACACACACACACACACACACACACACACACACATTCCAGGTGGGCCTGCTTGAGCCGACCCACGGGACCGCCCTCATTGGCGGCTACGACATCCGCAGCGACATGGGCTCCATCTACAGCCTCATGGGGGTCTGCCCGCAGCACGACCTGCTGTGGGAGACGCTGACGGGGCGCGAGCACCTCACCTTCTACGGGCGCCTCAAGGGCCTGGACGGTGCGCGGCGGCGTCGGCTTGGAGGATTCCTGAGGGGATGGGCAGAGCGCGGGTTGGAGGGGTCGCGAGGCGAGGCCGTCATCGTGGAAGGGCCGTCCTTCCGCGTGGTGGTCGTCTGGGTATTGGGGCCGGCGCTCAGCTTTGGAGCGTGGCCGCCCTGAGACTGGATGCCCTTATTTGCCAAAGCCGCGGGCGAGGCTGCGACCCTGTGTCTTGCTTGCTACAAGCACAGAACAGCTCTCGTTCACGCGCACTTGTGCACGCACGTGAGTACACGCACAGCGCATCCCCTCACAACACCCGCCCCTGCAACAACATGACGATTCAACCCACTGGCCAGGCAAGGAGCTCTCTGACGCGGTCGAGGACGGCCTGCGGTCCGTGAACCTGTGGAACGGCGGCGTGGGCGACAAGCAGGCGCAGCAGTACAGCGGCGGCATGAAGCGGCGGCTGAGCGTGGCCATCAGCTTCATGGGGGACCCCCTGGTGGCATACCTGGACGAGCCCTCAACGGTGGGGGGTCTGCCGGACTGAGGCCCGCAGTTGTGTCGTTTGTTTGATGAATGGGATGTCTGGCGTGGCCCAGCGTGTCTGCTTGGACGCTTGCATGTATCAGGACGGCTGTACACATAAGAAATGGCTGTCAAGTGGTGATCGTGGTTTGCTTGGTGCTGCTGCGACGACTCCTCACTGGGCTGGCTCAATCGTCGGCGGCTGTCACTACCCACGCGCCCCACCCATCCTGTTCATCCAGAGTCTTGGCTGCACGCACCCCCTCTGAGGCCCCCCCATCCCCCTGCAGCAGCCAGTGTTGCCCGTGCTGCTGGCTTCAGCATCCTGTTTCCACTTAACCACACCTCGCCCCTCCTCCCTCTCCGCCACGGCTCCTGCTCCACGCCCCATCCCCCCAGGGCCTGGACCCCGCTTCTCGCCGCAACCTGTGGGATGTTGTCAAGAGCAACAAGGCCGGGCGCGCCATCGTGCTTACCACGCACTCCATGGAGGAGGCCGAGACCCTGTGCGACCGCCTGGGCATATTCGTGGACGGCCGGCTGGTCTGCATCGGCAACCCCAAGGAGATCACCAGCAGGTGGGGCCGGGGCCGTGAGGAGGGAAGTGGGGGAGGATGGGAAGCTTCGTTCAGGGGCGAGCGGCGTGGCAGCCTGCTGTGGCCCCGCACAAGCCCTCCCGTGCGGCCAATATATTTCAGAAGCCCTGCTCTCGTTGATGGTGGTGGCCGTGGCATTGACACTCCTGAAGCACTGTGTCGTGTCGGCCCCTCCAGCACAGCAGCACCACTCTCTTCAGGGCAAGCCTGACTCCACCCAACTGCCACCCCTTATGCCCACGCTCACATGCGCCCGCTCGCGCACACACACACACACACACACACACGCACGCACGCACGCACGCGCATGCACACTCACTCATTAGCACACAAACGCACGCACACACATGCATACACACAGGTACGGGGGCTACCTGGTGATGACACTCACAGTGGCGGCCGGCCAGGAATCTCAGGCGCGCGCGTTTGTCGAGCGGCTGGCGCCCAGCGCGCGGCTTACATACAGCGTCAGCAGCACCCTCAAGTTTGAGCTGCCCAGCGACGAGGTGGGGGGGGGTGGCCGGGGTGGTATGCGTGTGGTGGCACGCGCCTATGCACACGTGTGTGTTGGGCTGCCTGTGCGTGCGCGCGTGTTCAAGTTTGTGTTGACATAAGTGCGGACAATGCGTTGTACGGAAGCATGGGTGCACATTTCAGCGTAAGCATCCAATACCTCCAGCCGCCTGCGAAGAAACCCACGGACTCTTGAACTCCTTATCACCCGCAGGTCTCGCTCAGCGGCGTGTTTGCTGCCATGGCCGACGCCAAGGCGGACACCAGCGCCGGCCGACTGCAGGTCCTGGACTGGGGGGTGGCCAATGCCACCCTGGAGGAGGTGTTCATAAAGTTTGCGCGCGCAATAGGGGCCAAGGCCGGTGACTGAGCGCCTTGTTGGCACTGTAATGTGTTGCGTTGTGTGTGTGTGTGTGTGTGTGTGTGTGTGTGTGTGTGTGAGTGTGTTGTGTAGCAATTGGGGCCACAGCGCCAGAATGGCTTCGTTACTCTGTGTCGTTGACTGGTGCATGTTATGCAAGCATACACCCACCGCATGCACGCATGCCTCACGACGCGCCGCCGAGGCGCCTGTATCTGCCAGCCGTTGAGCGCACCCGTCAAAAGGCGGCCAGCAAGACAACAAAGCCTTTCCCTTTCTTTGACGTCGGCGTGGCATTGGCCCGTCGGTACATGCACCGGCCCGCCTTGGGCGTTTTGTTCCAGTTCATGGAGCCCTAATCGACCACCGCGTCATACATGACAGGACTCTGCTGCACGGGTAGATGGATTGAGATTTCATCGAATTCGTATTGGTGGGCCATTCGCCCGCGCTTTTGTTGAAACTGGACTGAAAGGATGGTGGCTTCAGGTGGTTGTAATTGGCAGAGCAGCATTCCAGACCAATTGTCGGGGGACGTGGCGCTGCTTGTGCTTCAACGTATTGAACTGGTCTCCAATGAACATGTCGTCAATCGGATAGCAGCCTGCGTGGCAAAGCACTTGGGGACAGATGTGTGGATGTGATTGGTCTGGGTCCGCAAATGTCCTTATCACACTGTCCGCGCATGTGTGCACGGTGCGCGTACCCCGTCAGCCCCATATCTGGTAAGCTGTGAGGTAATGATCATGACTCAATGTAGCGTCATCTTGGATGCCGGGCTGGTGTGCCGCTGTTTCTGTAGGCAGAGGGCCAACAGCTCCTGCGGCCGTGTCTATGGCGGCTGGAGAGGCAGCGCCTCTGCCGGACCGGCTGGGCAGAGGCGCACTGAGAAAACCTTGGCGTTGATTATATATTGTCGTTTTCTTTTATTATTGCAGGATCCAGGCCACAGGCACCAGGCCAGCACGCGGCTCACCGGTCGCGGGGCAGTTTTTTCTGGGCCGGGGAGGTACGCCAGCTATTTCCGCTACATAACGTCGTGAACACGAGATTGAGAAAATTAAGTTGTGTGATGCGGCTCAGCATGGCCGGGGTCCTCCCGGTCGTCCTGCCGGTCCTCGCCTTACTGCTGCACGCACCGGCCGCCTTCGCGCGAGGTCAGGTGCGCAGTGGGGCCGCTGGCCTGGTCTCCTCAGCGGCAGTGTATTCGTCGGTACAATGAAGGAGATATCAAGGAATTTTGGGAACTGCTGTCGGACCTTGGGCCCTGCCCTGACGTCATGGGGTGGCGTGTCGCAGCTCTGCAAACCCGCAGCCCTGCTGCAGCGTCGCCTCAAGCACCCGGCAATCGCACCCCTATCAACAGACTTTGGGTGCCAAGTTGATAGCCGTCCTTTTGAATACCGCCCCGCAGATCGACCTCTCTGAATGCGCCAGCGAGTGGCAAATCGTGATGTGCGGTGACATCCCGCTGTCGTCCGTGCGCAAGCTCAAGGCCTGCTGCGAGGCCCACAAACCTGTGGTGGACAGCCCCAGCTGGGCAGGGGACGGCACAGTCCAGGCGGCAAGCATCGCGCGCTCTGACGTCATCTCGTCGCTCGGGGGCTATGTTGAGCCGATGGACTTCCAGCTTGGCTTTTGCACGGAGCAGGTGTCCGCCCTGGTCCCTGCGTTTTACAAGGATGCCAGCGGCGGGGCTACACTGGTGCGGGGGCCTTGCGTGGACTTGGGGGTGCCGGCTAGGCGAGCTGTGAGCTTGCTGGGGTGTGGGCTGAAGCAGGGAAAGTAGAGGATGTGGCAGGGACTGCGGCCCCGCGGGGCTGGTAGCCCTTGCGCAGCGGGCAAGGCGTACAATACAAGCCATCAGACGCGCTGATGGGCAGCTGCAGCAAGTTGCTGAATCCCACAATTCAATAGAGTGCCAAGCTGACCGCCGCAGTTGCGTGAGTCACTGCAAGGACCCCACGCATTATCAACACCCCACGCACGGACCCCATCAGCAGTCCCCAGCCTCACATTAACCCCAGAACATCATACCCACGAACACCCACGCACCCACACAGATGACCGTTGTGTCCCAGCCCGTTCCCAAGCTGGCGCCTAAAGTCATTGAGGATATCCGCAGCAAAGCCCTGACGGCCGCTCCCCGCTTCCTGCGAAAGCGCTACAAATCCTTCCGTCCGCGGGTTAACAGCACAAGCGGGTTCCTGCACCCCGCGGGCTTCGCGGGGCCCGCAGAGCTGGCGGCGATGCAGGCGGGGATCGAGTTCCAGTTGCAGCCCGTGGCGGCCGCCACAAAGGTGCTGCTGACAGGGGAAGGCGTGCCGCGCAAGTACTACAGCGGCGGCTGGGCGTTCCGCACTGATACGCCGGCTGAGGGGTACGAGGGGCCGATGCCAATGGAGAAGGTCATGGTGGACTGGGGTGAGTCATGGCCGGCTGGCAACAGGGGGGGGGGGGCAAGAGGGTAGGGTGGGGTTAGCGGTGGCCAGGTTCGGCGGTAGAATAAGGCGGGGG